ATGGGTTGCCTCCCACAAAGCGTTTGGTTTAACATTGTCAGCTCGATGTATCATTTGTTTCATCAGGATGACTTAACATTTAAATTTCCTTAAATTGTGGTATGTGTCCTTCATAATAATGTTTCAATCCATGCTCATCAACTTTAAATATCTTTCCAATTTTAGGATTTTTAATAACAACAGTTCCATAAGACTTTAATCACTTTAAATGGTCTTAACCATCTGGATTTCAATTTTTCTGGAAATAATCTCAATCTTGTATTATATAATAAAACTTCTTATCTAGGTTCAAACTTCTTTTTAACAATTTTCCGATCATGCCATATTTTCATTTTCTCTTTATAGATTTTTGCATTATCATATGCTTCATTTCTAATCTCCTCAAGTTCATTGAGTTGCAATAATATTTTCTCACCAACATCTTTTAGATTAAAATTAAATTCCTTAATAGCCCAAAATATTTTATGCTTCAATTCTACTAGTAATAGACATGTTTTTTCAAAAATAAATCTATATGAGAATATTCCAATAGGAGTCTTATAAGCAGTTCTGTATGCTCATAATGCAGTATCTAATGTAGCAGACCAATCCAATTTCTAGGGATTTACAATTTTTTTCTAAAATTCATTTTATTTCATGATTTGATATTTCTGCTAGACCGCTAGGCTGAGGATGATAAGCAGTAGAGAAACCATGTATAATATCATATTTTTTTAATTAATTTTTTGATTCTCTTATTCCATAAATGAGATCCTTCATCAGTAATAATTACTCTCAACATTCCATATCTTGTAAAAATATTTTTATTTAAAAATTTAGAAACACTCTGAGCATCACATTTAGGTACAGCAACAGCCTCAATCCATTTGGACATATAATCAACAGTAAGTAATATATATAAGTTTCCAAATGAAGGCATAAATGCTCCTATAAAATCTAATCCCCAAAAATCAAAAATTTTAACTTCTCAATGTGTAATTTAAAAGCATTTCATTTCTTCAAGAAATATTTTTTACTCGCTGTCATTTATCGCATGTTTTAATATATTCATTAATATCTCTAAAAAGTTTCAGCTTGCAAATTTTTATATGCAGTTCTATTTGTTCCAAAATATCCTCCAAATTCAGAATCATGACATCTTTCAATTATTTATTGAGTTTCTTCATAAGACACACACCTTCTAATAATTAGAATTTTATATTGTTTATATAAATATGGGTCATCCCAAAAATATAATTTTGAATCATATATAAATTTCTTTAATTATTAACTTTTAATATTAGGTGGTAGAATATCACTTACAATATGATTTACTATATCGACATACCACGATATATTAATTTCAGCAATATTATATAATTGTTCATCAGAGAAATTTTCTAAAATTTCATTTACAAAATTATTTAATATTTCTTTTTTCTAGTCTAGACAAATGATCAACTATTGGATTATCATTTACATTTCTATCAACTACAATAAAATCAAACTCTTGCAAAACAAGTATCCATCTAATCATTCTTGATTTAACATCCTTCTTTTGCATCAAGTATTTGATAGTAGGATGATCTGTATGCACTATACATTTGGTTCCAATCAAGTAAGATCTAAATTTATCAAAGGCACAAACAATAGCTAATAACTCTCACTCTCTTTCATAATAACTCTCTTTCAGTAGTAGTGTAGTTAATTTGAGCATCATTTAGAGTTTTAGAACATAATATATTATTTTAAAAATTTTGTTATGTTTTTGTCCTAAAACAGCTCCAACAACATAATCACTAGCATCATACATTATCTCAAATAGTTTCTCCCAATCAAGTGGGACTATTATAGGTGTAGTGATTATTTTTTTAAATAATTCAAATGTTTTTATGCATTCTAAAATCAAAATTTGTATCTTTTTTCTAAAAATTGGCATAATGACTTAGTTATTTTTGAAAAAAATTTTATGTAACTCCTGTAAAAACCCTAGCTGTCGAACACGATTTTGCCTAGTTGTCGAACACGATTTTGCCAATTTGTGATTCCATCATCATTTTTTGGTCTAGAGCAAAATACATCGGAAGAACCCTAGCTGTCGAATACGATTCCAAATACGAACGCAAATGAAAAAAAAAAATTTCCTGAACCCTAAAAGGAATTAAAGCTAAAAATTCTTTTCTCCAATTTGGCGGAATCTAAAATGACAAAATTTACGATTTGGCGGGATTGAAAGGTGACAAAGAGACGTTTTTTTGATATTGGGTAGGGCTCAGGCCGGGTCACACTATAAAAACAATTTTTCTCTTATTTTTTTTTATGGTGGGCCAATAACTGGTGTTAGCTTTTTTATTTGCTCCGACACAGCTAACTTAATAATTCCTCTCCCGAGTGGTTCCTAACATATATCAATTGTTTGCGCCAATCTCTAACCATTCCTCAGTAGGGTTGTCAAAACGGCTCGTTGTTCGCGAACAACTCGTGTTGGGCTCGTTAAGAAGCTCGTGTTGGGCTCGTTAATTTTGTTCGATAAGTTAACGAGCCGAACACGAACTAAGATGTGTTCGTTCGTGTTCGGCTCGTTTTGGCTCGAAATACTACTCATCAAATTTATATATATGTTAAGTAGTATTTTAAAAAAATCTAATTGACTACAAGGCTACAAAGATTTATAATCAATTAAAATATTGATAAAGAAAATATAAAAAAAATCATTAAATTAAATTAAAATGATGTTTTAATATAAATAATAATTTTTAAAACTTGTTCAAACCCCTATTGTCTTATGTATTATGACTAAATGATTAGAGTTGTTAAATTGTTAAAAGTACTATTTGTTCGTGAACAGCTCATGTTCGGCACACTTTTTAGGTAGAAATATAAACGAGCTCGAAATATAGCCGAAGACGATTCCTCAGTGAATCGATTTCGCCCTTCGCCCCATTTTTCTCCCGATCTGCGATCTCTGCGAGGAAGGCGATTCCTCAGTGAATCGATTTCGCCCTCGCCCCATTTTTCTCCCGATCTGCGATCTCTGCGATCTCCCAGCGCCCTTCCACATCGCCGTCTCCCAGCGCCCTTCCTCATCGCCGTTCACCGTCTCCCTTCCTCATCGCCGTTCACCGTCGCCGCTCCCGTCATGCCACTCCAGTAGTCGTTCCTTGTCGCCGGTCCCCGTTTCGCAAGGCCGAAACCGGTAAGCCCTAATTTCCTTTTCACGCCAATTTCCCTGTCATTTCCCTCCCCAAATCGAATCTAATTTCCGGAGAACTCACTCCAATCTCCTCAGTCATTCTCCTCTCAAAACCGAGCCTGATTTCTAGAGAAGCCCTAATTGTTTTGTGCCAAATTCTTCTCTGCAATCCAGCGTCCGGCGCCAAGTTCTTCTCTGCAATCCAGGTTTGACGCCAGACTCGGCCGTCGCACCTGACCGTCCGATCGTGGAGGAATGGTTTCTGCATACTATTGTAGTGATTTCCCATAATATAGTTAGTATATATTGCTGCATACTATTTGCATTTATGTTGTCAGAATCTATTGCTCCTATTACTGCCAACATAGTGCATCGAGTTTGCATTACAACATGGTATTGTGTTTCAAATTATAATTGTTAATCTTACTTTGTTAATGGAAATAATTTAGAATAATAAAAATCCAAAATGATTAAGACACATAGGGCTATAAACACATCAAGTAGAGTATTAATTAATTCAAGCTTGTTCGTTCATTTATTTTCTTATATCATATTCAAGTAAATCCTTGAGTTGATCATGACTGGAGTTCTTTATCTTATTAGAGCTTGTTTATTTTTATTTATGTCAGGTTCAAACTGTAATCGAGCTTTTTGCAAGCTTGATAAATTTGTGAGTTGCTAATTTATGCATATAACCCTTATCATTGAACATAAAATATGCGAAGTTATTGTCATTGTTTACATATTTCACAGAATATCATTGTTTAGATTCTTATAATTTCAAAATGTAATGAAAAACTAAAGTTAAATCAAACCATCGAACTATTTGCTAAAAAAACCTCATCCTAGTTTTTACCTCTATTTATGAACTTAATTTAAAGTGCGTAAGAAAACTTATCAATCCATCATTGTTAGTTCAAGCTAGTATACATAGGAATTGGGTGGTATGTATGTAAGGGCCCCATATCTTTTACAATTAATAACCATCAAGTAAAGTACTATATAAGGTATTATCAAGTTTGCCTCAATCTATGTAATATTAGAATGAATCTTGTGATTTTTAATATTTTTCATGCAACTTCCCAGAAGGTCGCCCATTCTCCCATTATTCCAGCACTTAATTTTGGAGTAGCTCAATGGAATTCTAATTATTACCCCAGACGATGCCTCACTGTTTGGATGTGACCTCTTACTTCTATGAATTTGTAACATTTCCTTCTTATTATGTGGTACTTAATTCATTCTTACTTCCTTTTCCACTAGAAGCTTGCAACGGTTGTTCTCTATAATGATTTTGAATTGCATTCTTAGTGTTGCCATTGAAAATATTCAAGGAAGATTTACAAACACACCACTCATTTATTATTTATTTATATTTCTAACACGTAAATTTTAGACATAATACCTCTAAATGTGAGTCTCTACATGGAAATGACATTTTATTATAATTAATTTACCTAGAGTGTTGTGCAAGAAATTACTATTTTTTTCTTTTGTTTTATTTATTTTAATTGTTGTGCAAGGAATCTATTGATCGATGTTATAGCTCTTAAATAAATTTATGTTTTCTTCTCATTAGAAATTTTTATCTGACGCAATTATATACGAGTATTTTAGGTAAACCGTGTCGCCATTAATTTATTTTGTACTAGATTTAATTCTTTTTTTTGAGGGGAAAATGCTCACTTCATTTTTGTACTGCATATCATCACAATATGTATTTTACTTCAAACTAACTTCTTAAATGATAAATTTTAAAGTCGACATTAAATTATTATTATTTCCATTTTATTGATTTGTTACGAATAATTTTAAGCATAATCTCAAAAAATTTTATATTTACATGCCTAACACCTAAGCTTTTGGAAGATTTAGGTACAACACTAAATTTTTTTATATTTGCATGCCGAACACCTAAGCTTCAATTTTTACATATATGTCACCTTACCTTTGCATGAAAAGTTGAATCACTTCTTTTTTTAACTTAAAATGCTGGTTTTTGTCTCGGAATTGCAGTAATCCCGTGGATGGCTAGATAGTCGGTTATACCATGAACGTTGTATCTGAAACCGACATGACTCGTATTGGTAAGCCTTGCTACGAGTGCACGTGTAATAAGGAGGTTTGATTCTCCTCCCTGTCAGTCCTGATTTTCATGAGTCAAAACAACTAGCTCGATATGATTAAGGAAATCATGTATGGAAAGAAACATATCCAGAGTTATATACATGAGCTGTATTTCATGAGACATATCTACCTCTTTCGTTTTAATAATTGAGACGTTTGAACCCCATCTTGTATCACTTAAAACGATTAAAGCCGTAGTACCAGCATCTCTTCTATGAAGCGTATGTATACGGACCATGATTAGTCCGAGATGTCTGTGTTGCATACCTTCCTGAACAAGACGTTGGTATGATTGATGTCTAATGAAAGGTAGATTGACTTGTGTACCCTCTACGACGAAGATATGTTCCTCAGAGTAATGCTGATATACTCGATGTCTGGTGGATGACCAGTCATCTTCATACAGTCTCTGCAGGAACTAGATTCGTACGCTTTCTTTGAGAAAACTATAGTTGTTGCTCTAGATCAAGTTGACTTTCCAGATTTCTCTGATAAGAACGCCTTCTTGGCATCCTTCTTTGGGGTTCGTATGATATTTGTGATCTCATACGATAGTCACAAATCTGATCATCTATGTTAGAAGTCGAGGTCAATGTAGAAGCTAAGTTCTTATTTCTAACAGAGGGATTAGGGAGAAGAGATGTAGAAGTACGAGAAAAAGAGACCATAGTTTAAGATCGCTTTTGTTTTTCTTGGAGAAAGATTGATTTTGGTAAACAAAAGCTTACCTCTAGGTCTATAAATTTTATTTTGTTTGGGACGACTCACCAAGAAATAAAGATTGAAGACGATTTTGTAAATCAATTAAAGAATCTTCGACAGTCTTATTACTTTTAGAGTAATTCCTCTGTTGAATTTCCTTTAATCGGTCTTTTAAGCTTAAGAGCTTATCCGAAAGCTTAAGAACAATTTAAGTCAAGGTATTATTCTGCTTTATAACAACGCTTAAAGTAGATGTTACACCTTAACGAGAATTGACTGGGTTAACGAATCCAAGAGCAGGATGTTCAAGAGAATCAGTAGCTAGTAGGGCTTGTTTATAATCAGTTGAAGCAGAGGATTGCATCCAATCATTCATAAAATGTTTAAAGCAAGTTGATAAAAGAAATACTCTGAGTTCAATTTTCAAAAACTTAATATGTTATATCGTCTAACTTTTTTAAATCACAAGCTAAGATTCATATAATTAAGAATCATAAATTCAGAAAATAAGTTTCTGAACATGCTTAGTAGATCCTTTTCAACCCTACGATTCCACAGTGCTCCTATTATTTTCGGAGATCTCGTCGTGACACTTAGGTTTACTGGCTAATCATGCTAAGTAGCAACGTCTTATTTAGAGAGTATAATCTTAATATAATAAATAAGAGCTTAATAACATGAAGAAGTTAAACAAAGTACAACAAATCAAAAATTCTACTCAGCTTACTCAGAGCACTAAGAGATTAGTTCAACATGATTAAAGGAAAACCCAAACTAGCTCTGACACCAAAAGGGGGCAAAAGTATGGAGATCGCTGGTTGGGGATCACATAGAAATTTTACCAGAATAACAAATAAGAACTTGAAGAAGAAAGAAGAAAACTTGAAATATTATTTAAAAAAAACTCGAAGACTTACGAAAGTAGATATGAGAAGTAGACACTTGGTGCTCGACCAGACTATCTACAAGTCTATACAAACCCTTTATTTATAGATAAGATATGGGGAAAACCACATGGTTTCAACCTACCGAAAAATGAAAGCCATGGGCTTCACTGACTCGATAATGCAAATCACGTTGGAAAGTAGATGTTTTTCAACGCACTAAACACAATAATGCGGCCATTAACCAACCACTATGAAAAACAAATGCTTTTCGTACAATTATTTAGACCATTAGTGGAAAGAAAGATTCTTTCCAGCACAGACACGGATAGTGGGTAGGGCCCACCATATGCTCCACTCAGAAAAGTAAATATTCCAAAATACAGACTCCAAATACAATATAATACAATACATTAGACACTATTTTTCAATCCTTGTCCAGTAACTTTCACCACCACACCAATTAGGCTTCCGAGCCTCTTCTCAATTTCTCATACTGTTGGTGTGATGTCTCCCCATATGTTGTCCTTTGTTGCCTTTGAGTGGCAATATTTTGTTTTATTTTCATATATGCATTGGAGGATTCATAGTTCCTCGAGAACTCTCTGCACTTGTTCTGATTTCATTCGTCTAGCGGCTCCTCGCAACTTATCATGGGCGTCGCTTAAGATGGGAAAATCGAATGTATCCCACAATAGTTCCCACTGAAGGTCACTGGAATCCTTTGGCTTTTTGATTTGTTCCTTGGAAATCTAAGGTTTTCTATCACTTGTTCCTTCCCGCATCCATTGATGGTTATTTGATGCCACTTCGTTATATTCCTCCTTGCTTTTTCCTCGTGCAATAGCCTTTCCTCGATTGCTTCTGGCGTCAATTCTTTAATTTTTGAAAATAAAGAATTAACTTTGTCTTCAAATCCTGCAATAAGAATAAAAGTTAACATTGAAAGTGAGTCAGCCAGAACATTGTTCTTTCCATCAATATCTTCAAAATGAACAATTATGCCCAGACCATTGATAAAGTCTGTAAAAGTTAACCATCTAACCCTAGATAGTTTATTCTGCGTAGTTTTATTGTAAAAGGTTATGATAGCCTAGTAATCAGTTCTCAAAGTTATTTCAGATTTATCGAGATAATGTATTTTCAAGGCATTTAAGGATTCCATGCAAGCATAAATTTTCGCATAAATTGTGGATTTTATTGTTGAAAATTTGCCGCTAGCCTATGCACAAATCATTTCTAAAAATTTAGGATCGTTTTTAGCCAATTTTCATATGCATATGCCACCCCATCATTTCATACATCCATCTATTTCAAGAATCATGTATGCATTTGAGGGAGGAATTACTAAATCAGGAAAATTTTGTACAAGATCCTTTATCTTCCTTATGAGTTTCCAATCGTGGTCCTTTAGTCGTTTATCTCCATGAGGAGAAGTCTTTTGATAAAGCGGATCTAGAAGAGTGCCAATATTAGTAATGTAATTTCTTGTATAATTTAAAATTCCTAACCAAGAACGCATGCCTTGTTTTTCTTTTAATTTTTCATCTGGAAAATCTGCTATCTTTCTTATTATGTGTGGTTGTAGCTTGATTTTCTTTTTTCCAAAGATTGCCCCGAGAAATTCAATTTCAGATACCGCTATTTTCATCTTCGTGGGAGAAAGAACCAACCCTTCATCTTCGACAATAGTAAGGAATTTCTCCAAGTGCTTCATGTGGTCAGATTCACTTTCACTAAAAATAATTATATCATCAATAT